ATTGCTGTTTTTAAATTCAGGCTGAATGAAAATAACTTACCTGACACAACAATAATGAGAATCTTAGCATTGGTACCTAAGAGACTATGGAAGAATTTCAGGGTAGCTGGGATGTCTTTTACATAATACAGCATCTAGAAATGAGGAAAAAGAAATGAGATGCTTCTTTATGTTGAAGTCTTTATTGCTTGGGCTAGATACTCCTAGAAAGTTTGATTTTCTAGTTGAGTTAATTTTTATCGAAGAAAACACTTAAGAAATTTAAAAATAAAAGACGTTGCATGAAGACATAGAACAATAATGTGAGAAAAATATTTGGGGAAATGGAAAAGTATGGTATTTGTTCGACTAGAGTGAAATGGTTTTAAATTTACCCTTTCTGGCTTCCATAGCACAGACATTTATAGCTGGAGACACTTAGTCACCATTCCACATAGGGACATGAATCCTATGCCTATTCTATAATTTGTGAATTGCAGTTCTTCTGGGAGAAAATGGTTTCGGCACCATAAAAACAGATCCCATTTCATGGAACGTTGCTTTACAATTAAGCCCTTTGCACTAGCTTCTCCATATGCTCACAGATGCTTTTTTAAAATCACAGAAAATGTGACAGGCTCTGATGATGACAGATTCTGTAGGAAGTTGGACTAAATAAAGCATGAGGTTATCTGCTTGGCCACAGGGAGTTTAGGGGTCAGGCCACCCATTTTTAATAATTATGGACCAATCTCTAGTGAAATACAGGCCTTTCCATCCAACACAGAGCTTGGACTTAGGTATTGACAATGGGAAATTGTTCCCCATGGCTTGCATCTTTGGATCCCACCCCCATAGACACTTCTTATATCTCATCTTCATCTTTGTTGGACAAGAATTCAATGTTCTATATAGCTTGTCCTTAGAGAATTCATTGCATAGAAGAAAAGTACTTTAGCTGTGGCTTTTTCATATGAATGAATGAAATAAAATGGACCTGACCTGTGCATGGCTCATGGTGCCTTAGGGGCCACACTCCACATTTTCTACCACAGGGACCATAGGCAGGTACCCAAATATAGCAAATCAATATGATGACTAATAATCTGCAATATGACCTGGCTAGAAATGCAGAGGTGGCCCATAGAAGATCCCTTAAATTTTTTTTATAGACAGTGAAATTTTCTGAATTAACAGTGAGGTTGTAAAAGTATCATGACAGTGTGAGGACTATAGTGAGTAATAGAGAGGCAGAGATGCTGCACAGAAAAATGGGGCATAGACAGAGATGGAGAGAGAAGAACAGGATACAGATGCAGAGGGAAACAGAATTGCTGTAAGAAAAAAGGAACAAACATGGAAGTTTTAAGAGAAATAGGAAAGAGAAGTTGATTCCCGAAATCACAACATTTATAACAGAGAAAAGAATGGGATCCAGGGTTAAGCAGTGGGAGTGTTTTTTGATAAAAGGAGGTTTTTGCAATAAGACGGAAGAAGGAGATGGTGCACAAATGCAGTTATGTTTGCAAAGTTAGCAGGTGAAAAATGAGTTTCTATCTGGTAGTTTCTATTTTCTCTATACATTGTGAAATGAGGTCATCGGTTCAGAATGAATGATCTGGGAGAGATTGCAGGAGTAGTAAGGAGAGAGGGGAGTTATAAAACAGTTATGTGAGGAAGTGGGACCAAAAGCAAATCTGGTAGAGAAATATCTTTGCATCCTGGACAGTGATAAGTACTACCTGACAGGCAAAAGATTTCATCAGCTAACGAAGCAGAGACATAGAATTGCCTGTATATGACAAAATCGGAGTATTTCTTCCTTTGACTTGTAGTAAGTTTATTCTTTTGGGGTGACTATCATTGTAGACCAGGAAGAAAAATAGTGTTTTGTTGTTAATCAAGTGGTATTGCCAAAATATGTACATTTCCCGATGGTAACCAGTGTCCAAAACCCATACATCCCTTATGCTATTCAGAAATATTAGTTATCTCTGGAAATCCAGCCCCATGTTATCTACTCAATAGTCACTCCTTTTCTATAACATGTGTGAGTCAGTTTGTTGGATCTGGATGATAGAAGTACAAATTTATCGAACTGAGGCATCATTTAATCTGCCCCTTCGACGATATGTCCACTATAAAAACACTCTGGGACATTGGTCCACCCAAACCTTTAGAGTCACTAGAGAATATGTTATGATGTTATCATTCTCAAATCTCTATATAAACATTCAATGATATAAAAATAAATTAAAGACTGGGTGCAGTGGCTCACACCTGTAATTCCAACACTGTTGGAGGTTGAGGTGGGAAGATCACTTGAGCCTAGGATTTCAAGACCAGTCTAGGCAACATAGTATGGCCGCAGCTCTACAAAAAATAAAAAAATTAGTTAGGTGTGGTGGTGCACACCTGTGGTCTCAACTAACCAGGAAGTTGGAGTGGGAGGATTGCTTAAGCTCAGGAGGTTAAGGCTACAGTGAGCTAAGATCATGCCACCACACACCACCTGGGTGACACAGCGAGACTCCCATCTCAAAAAAAGAAATAATAAAAAAAGAAAAAAGAAATAAGAATTAAGCCAACATTTTAACAATGGATAACTGTAGAGGTATTTTGATTAGAGAAAACTGGTTTTTTGAATGTTAAAGAGAATCTTAGTATTATAAACATCTTTATCCTTTATTTCGGCAGATCATGGTCACTTGTAAAATTAGAAATCACAAGATTTTCATTTTCCTTTTAAAAGTTAGAATAGTAGGTATTCATTATATTATATATATCTGAAAAGTCTTCTTTTTATAATACATATTCTTACCTGAATCATATGAATAAAGTCCCACTTTTGAACCTCCTTTTTCTCCAACATTCTTCTTTGATATTCAGATGATGTCTCGTTATGCCAAGCAAACTTTACATTCTCAAGGTTTGATGTCTTGGCTACAAGCTCTAAAATACAG